TATACAAGAAATACATGTTTGTACACCACATTGGTCCCTTAATACAAGAATCTACCAGTATAAAATACATGGTCCAAAAATTCAAAATACAAATTTTTGCACTAATCCACGTTCATCTATCAAAACTATACATATCATCATCCATTCTTCATGTAAATAAACATATAGGGAAATTATCATATTTTTTCTTTTCCCTTACCTTCAGCACTTCCTACAATACATATTTAAAATCACAAAACGAGGGTGTTAAAACCCAGATCTGACAATAGAACAATTTAACAAGGAAATTCAAGAGAAATTTGTAGAAGAAAAAGATGAAATAGAAATCGACGGCGCTTTCTTTATTGAATTGAAAATTACAAACTCTCAAAAACCATAATCGACTCTCATGAGATGTATCTGAATCTATGTGTTTACAATAAATTTTCTATTTGCTCTCGTATTTTTTTCTATACCTGAAACACTACTTATATAGGCAGTAATTCATGATAACTGAATAAGATAAGCATTATCCAAAATAAGATTAGCCTTATCCAAAATAAGATTCTGAAGATAGTCGTCTTGAAGGACCAGAGGATAGACAGACCAGAGAGGCTCTGRTCCTCCAGAGGCTCTGGTCAATACAACCAGAGGCTCTGGTGTCTCTTCACCTCCAGAGGCTCTGGTGAATACAACCAGAGGCTCTGGTCGTTCACAAAGGCTCTGGTGTCTCTTCACAGAAGCTCTGGTTCTTCTTACAGAGGCTCTGGTTCAGCTTACAGAGGCTCTGGTCGTCCATACTTGATCGATTTAGCACAGCGGCTGGTCTTCTTCCAGACTTAGACGTTTTGGCACAACAGCATCTTCAGATGTTCCATCCTTAGCCCCGATTGCTTAATAAAACTTTTTGAGATAATTATTAGGATCAATTTGATGCTAACAGAGGGTTAGACCGAAAGGTCTAGTGAGTTACCCTATTTATGTCATTGCAGGGTGAAAATCACCAAAACCTTTAAGTAAAACAACTTTTCATATAT